CTGAATGAGTGCTCATCAAAAACTGGTGATTCCATACTTTTTGCCAGGGGTTGTAAAACAAGGAAGCAGAGCAGGTTTTTTTTTTTTTTTTCAACCCGATGCTTAAAATATCTTTTTTTACTGAAAATCTGAAGCAAACATCTGAAAACAAGCAAAGTGAGCTACATGAGCACTAAACAGAGACATGCAACAAACAAAACAAACATTTTCTTAATGTGGCATTCACTGGACTAAAGGTTCAGAACTAAATCCTACACCTGCTTTAAACGTATTTCCAGCCAAGTTGTAAGTTTGTTTGTGTGTGAGATCTTCAACAAGGAGGAGAACCTGTCAGCTGGATGCTAAGCAACTGTTTGTGAAAACGAAGAGTGCTGACCCTGACCTGGACGAGCAGCTGGACGGCGGGACAACCCGACACATTGGCAGATTAATGAATGCAAACGCTGCTGCTGAGCAGGTGAATAAAGAACGCGCTCAGATAACTCATCACAATGAAGTTTGCGGCTGGTGGGGGGCAGGGGGTGGGAGCGAGAAATGCAGCAGCRTGACATTATCATGCCAGCAAACCGCAGGTCACAATGTCAGTCTAATCTCCAACCTGAAAATACTTCAGCCAGAAAAGCAATGAATATGATTATGCCGAGTAACAGATGTTCTATTCTCTCTCTCTCTCTCTCTCTCTCACACACACACACACACACACACACACACACACACACACAGTAAAACCTTATATATCCAGCTGGGAAAGAGCTAAGTGTCCCGTGTGCATTTTGTGGCATTTAATCATTGTTGCTTTTAGCTGCAGAAAAAAAAAGTTACAAGTTTTCAGCAACAAGTGCTGCTTCGAGGGTTTTATTCATGCTCTAGCTGCTCACAAAAGCACACTTACATTACAGCTAAAAGCTCTTATTTATCTAACAACCCACACAACCATTCACACGAATAAAGTGGTCATCCATCCAACAGTGCTTTTATTTTCGTTCTGTGCATGTCCCGTCACCAAATAACTGCTGAGCTGGTCCCTCCTCAGCCACGTGTGTTTGTGGTTGTGATGAAAAGAAATTCATCAGGACGTGYTGCTGTTTGTGTGTGAGCAACTGGACACCTGGTGATGAGCTCTAGGTGACTTTACCTCACTGTGCTTCACCTCTAAAGTCAAGTTCACCAAAGTCTAAAATATACTTCTTGTTTATTTTTAAATCTATATTCATAACACCATCCAAAGCTGACTCAGCGTTATTGCTTTTGCAGCTCGAGCTGCATTTAGGGCAACATCTATATTTCCATCAGAGCTTGTTTAACGCTAAAGCTGCTGAGTCACAAAGTAGGGTGGCGCCTTTCTGAAACTAACTCCTCTTCTGACTCGGGTTGGGCAAAAAAACTAATCACAATTAAAYGTGGCGTTTAGCTGATAATTAACTTGACAATTAATAGATGACAGTTGCATGTTTATAACTCTAAATCTGTTAAAATTATACTTAGAAATAATCTACCATAACTTCATTTTAACAGCCACCACCACCACCCCTGCAGTTCTGCTCCACAGCTCTTACTTTGGCTGTCTCAGTTCAGGGGCTGCAGCCTACCTACCTACCTATAGGCTGCAGCCTATCTACCTACCTATAGGCTGCAGCCTACCTACCTACCTACCTATAGGCTGCAGCCTACCTACCTACCTACCTACCTATAGGCTGCAGCCTACCTACCTACCTACCTACCTATAGGCTGCAGCCTACCTACCTACCTACCTACCTATAGGCTGCAGCCTACCTACCTACCTACCTACCTATAGGCTGCAGCCTACCTACCTACCTACCTA